CTCTGTCTTGCAGAGAGTTAGAAATATGAGGGAATACCAATTTCCTTCATTTCTGATGTGTAGTACACTGGCACATGGATGCAGAGATGTAGATGCAGCTGATTTCTCTGAGGAGTAACAACGTTATGTCATCCCCTCTATTGACTTCAATGGGGAAAAGTCTCAGGAAAATGTTGCCTTGTTAAGTTCACTTTAAACTGCAGATCCATTCTGAAAATTGCATTTCACTTCTCAATCAAATTCTACTTAACACAAATTTTATAGATCTCCAACCCATTTTGGGCAGCAGAACTACATGGCACTCTCTAGGCCAAAATGCTTTTACTGATATAAGCTTCCTATATATGTTCTTATACATCTCTCACACAGAGAGCTAGAAATACGAGGAACATGGTTTTTCTTCATTTTGGATATGGAGTTTACTGAAACACCAGCACTTTCTCTGAGGAGTAACTATACGTTCTGTCCTCCTCTCCATTGATTTCAATGCAGAAAATGTCTCAGGAAAAATGTTGCTATCAAAAGTTCAGTTCAAATTGTAGGACCATACTGAATAGTATGTTTGGGTTCTCAACTGAAGTTCTAGATAGCAAAAAGTTTAGAAATCTCCAAGCCATTTTTGGGCACCAGAACTGGGCAGCAATCTCTATGCCATACAGACATTACTGATACCAGCATTCTAGATTTGTGCTTATAACTCTGTCACTGAGAAAGCTAGAAATATGAGGGAATATTGATTTCTATAATTTCTGAAATTGGAGTACAATGGTAAACTACTGCAGCTCCAGCTGCTTTCTCTGTGAGTAACTACATATTCTGTACTCCTGTCAATTGATTTCAATGAGGAGTAATCTCAGGAAAAATGTTTCCCTCAAAAACTTCATTACAAACAGCAGAACCATTCTGAAAAGTGTGTTTGGCTTCTCACCTTAAGATCTAGTTACCACAGAGCCCCCCAAAATATAAAGACCCAATTCAAAAATGGGCATCCAAAATGAACAGACATTTCTCAGACAAAGAAGTAAAAGCAGCAAGTAAATATTTGAGAAAATGTTCGACATCACTGATCATTCGAGAGATGGAGATGAAAACCACACTGAGATTCTACCTCACCCCACAAAGAATGGCTGCTATCAATGAAATCAAACAATAACAAATGCTGGCAGCATTGTGGGGAGGAAGGAACCCTTCTCCATTGTTGGTGGGAGCACAGACTGGTGCAACCACTATGGAAATCAATATGGAGATATCTCAAAGAGCTGGGACTAGAGGTTCCATTTGACCCAGTCATCTCTCTGCTGGGTATCTTTCCAAAAGAAAAGAATAATATCACAGTGATATATGCACACCTATGTTTATAGCAGCACAGTTTGTAATAGCTAAAACTTGGAAACAGCACATTTGCCCATCAGTTGGAAACTGGATAAAGAAGACGTGGTTTTTCTATAAAATGGAATACTACTCAGCTATAAAGAAAGAGAAATTAGAATCATTCATAGGAAAATGGATACATATTAAGGATATACTCATAAGTGAAATAAATAAGTCACGTGTAAATACCGAATAGTTTCTCTGATGTGAAAAACTATAATAATACATAAGATCCTAATGAGATAACTGACAATGTGAAATAGGAAGAAAAGAGCTAAAGGTGCAGGGAAAGTGGGAAGGGTACAGTAGAAATTGAAGTGAGAAGCCAAACACACTTTTTAAAATGTTTCTGCAGTTTAAACTGAAGTATTTTTTGCAACATATTCCTAATAACTTTTCCCCATTGAAGTCAATGGAAGGGAGGACTGAACTTGCAGTTACTCCTCAGAAAAAGCAGCTGGAAGACCAACAGTGTGCCAGTAAAATCCACTTAAGAAGTGTAGCACAAAACTATTCCCTCCAGTTTTTAGCTGTCTGCATGACAGAACTATAATTACATATTTATTACGCTTGTATCAGAAAAGGCCTAGCAAGTGCTGTGTAGTTCTGCACCAAAAAAAGGGCTTGAAAATCTGTAAACTTTGTCCTAAGTCTAACTTGAGGTGAGAAGCCCAAGAAACTTTTTAGAGTGTTTCTGCAGACTAGAGTTTTGACTGAAACATTTTTACTTTGACCTTTTCACCTTTGAAATCAATGGAGGGCAGGAGACACCATGCAGTTTCTCTTCAGAGAAATCATCAGGAACTGTGCCAGTAAACTACACATCTGAAACAGCATAGAGTATTCACTCCTCTTTTTAGATCTCTACATGACAGTTATAAGCACATATCATTGAGGCTTGTATCAGGAATTGCAGTTTGACCTAGAGAGTGCCACGTGGTTCTGCTGCCTAAACAGAGGTTGGAGATGTGGAGAACCATAGATCCGCCCCTCTGCCATTTTATGATATAGCCTATGAAGCCATTTTGTATTAGGTTTAGTTTTCCTGTAGATCACATGATATGTTCCCGTGGGTGTTTGATGTATCCTTATAAGGTAATAATCTGTTCTCTGTATGCTGATTGGTTGCATTATGGTATATATGTTGCCACCCCTTCCGGGCGCAGAGAGAGAGCGGGGTAGAGATCCGGAGATGAGGAACTAAAGTAAACTCCTTGTGTATCAAGTGTATGCCTCTTTGCTCACGCCTTGCCAGTTCAGGCCCCTGTAGTCGCAGACCGAGTTGCCCAAGGCAATCCAGCTCGCGACAGGAGATCTGTAAAATTTGTGTTAAGTAGAATTTGCAGTGAGAAGCCAAACACACATTTCCAAATGGTTCTGCAGTTTACACTGAAGTTTTGACAGCAACATTTTTCCTGTGGCCCTTTCCCCTTTGAAGTCAATGAAGGGGAGGACTGTCGCGAGCCGGATTGCCTTGGGCAACTCGGTCTGCGACTACAGGGGGCCTGAACCGGCGAGGCGTGAGCAAAGAGGCACACACTTGATACACAAGGAGTTTACTTTAGTTCCTCATCTCCAGATCTCTACCCCGCTCTCTCTCCGCGCTCAGAAAGGGTGGCAACATATATACCATAATGCAACCAATCAGCATACAGAGAACAGATTATTACCTTATAAGGATACATCAAACACCCACGGGAACATATCATGTGATCTACAGGAAAACTAAACCTAATACAAAATGGCTTCATAGGCTATATCATAAAATGGCAGAGGGGCGGATCTATGGTTCTCCACAAGGACATAATTGTAAGACCAAGAGCCTTACCAACCGCTCCGAGGAGCTCAACAGCTACGAGAAACACCCATGAAGTAGCACACCCAACAAGTTGGAAATGAAACAGACTTATTAGTCTGGCCAGATGGCACTCCCAGAGCCAAGTAGCTCAGAGAGGCGCTAGCTCAGGGGCTGAGGTCTTCCTTAAGGGAATACAGGGAGAGTTAACATTCAAAGCTTACAGTCAGGTGGCAAAGGTTAATGGTCTGCTGATTCACACTAGTGGCCAGCTGTCAGCAGCCACAAGTCGATGGTTAACAGATGCCTACAAGAGGTTCTAAGAGCACGTTCTAAAAGCATTTCGGGTTTAAGCAGTTTTCCCTGTTGAAGATAAGGGGAGGGTGAAACAACAGTCTCTGGGCCATAAGCTGGCCAACATAGAGTCACTTTAGTTCAGTCAGGTCTCACAATTATAGAATTTTAAATTTTTTAAAAATGACAATTACGATTTAGTTTTTTAAAAGCCAGTCACAAAAGACTACACATTATGTTTCTGTTTCTATGAAGTGTTAGGACTAGGAAAATTCATAGAGGCAGTGGTTTCCTAGGGTAGCAGGGGTGGGAGAATGGGGAATGACTGCTAATGGATACAGGGTTTCTTTGGGGAATGAAGAAAATGTTCTAAAATGTAGGTGATGATTACATAACCCTGTGAATATAATACACCCCACTAAATTGTGTATGTACATTTTTTTTTTCTTTTTGGTACGAGGAATCGAACTCTGGTCCCTGTGCTTGAGAGGCAGGCGGTGGAATGTATATTTTAAATGTATAAATCGCAGCGTTTCTAAATTACATCTCAATAAAGTACGGAAGTTGACAGAAATGTCGGTCGATTTAGGGACAAGATATCTGGATTTAGCCATAAGCCCTAAACCCGGCGGGGCAAGGGAAGGGGAAGCGCCAGAGAGGGCCGGGCTCCCCGCTCCCCGCACCC